ACTGTCTTTGGTTTTTTAGGATGAGTCGGTTTATTAAAAATAGAGAGCGAGGCTTGATTAAGAGGAATTATGAAGTTTCTCCTTTACTCCTCACTTGGTTCAATTGGGATTTGACTTTTACTCTGCACAATTAGGGGAATTGATGCTGCAGAAAATGATGAATAAGGAAAAAAACAAGGGCGGCGTTTGCGTGTTGCTTTCTCAGTCACCTGTCCCACCTAATCTTTGTTCATAACAACTTGTGCAACTCATTCCCAACCATTTTGCGCAGTCAGAGATTTTTTTTGGATTTATACTCCATTAACACTTTTAAAAATTGTGGAATAAGTTATCAACCTTGCACAAAAAATTAATAATATATGCCCGACGACGAGAAAAAATTAGCCCATATCCGCAATATTGGTATCATGGCCCACATTGATGCTGGTAAAACTACTACCACTGAACGCATACTTTATCACAGTGGAAAAATCCATAAAATTGGCGAAGTTCACGAAGGCAAAGCCCAAATGGACTTTATGGATCAAGAGCAGGAACGGGGAATTACTATCCAGTCAGCTGCCACTACTGTTTATTGGCAAGAACACCAGATAAATATTATTGATACTCCCGGCCACGTAGATTTCACCGCTGAGGTAGAAAGGTCTTTGCGGGTTCTTGACGGCGGAATAGTAGTTTTAGACGGAAAAAAAGGAGTCGAAGCCCAAACCGAGACTGTTTGGCGCCAAGCTAAAAAATATAAAATTCCGCGCTTAATTTTTATTAATAAAATGGATGGGGTTGACAACGTGGAAAAATTTGCTGAGAATTTAAAAAGCGTTCGGGAGAAACTTAATGCCAACCCGTTGCCAGTACAGTTTCCGATTGGAGCTGGCCGGGAATTAGAAGGGGTAGTGGATATAATAGAACAGAAAGCTTATTACTGCCAAATGGGCGATAAAGAAGAGAAGTATCAAATAAAAGAAATTCCACCAAATTTATTAGAAAAAACCAAAAAATATCGTCAAGAATTACTCGAAAAAATAATTGAGCAAGACGAGGAACTAGCAGCGAAATATTTAGAAGGTGGGGAGCTATCGGTTGCAGAAATTAAAAAATTACTTCGCCAAGCCACTCTCACTGGTAAGTATTTCCCGGTCTTCTGTGGTTCAGCCTATAAGTACGTAGGTGTAAAATTAGTTTTGAATGGGGTAGTTGATTATTTGCCTTCCCCGTTAGATATAGCCGAAATACCTGTTTTCTCACCACAGAATAAAGATAAAACAGGAGCAGTAAACTGTCAAAGCCCCCTGCCCTGTTTAGCTTTGGCTTTCAAAATTATGGTTGATAATTACAATAATAAACTAACTTTTTTTCGGGTTTACGCGGGAGAGGTACTAGCCAACTCCTATATCTATAATGTTAACCAAGGTAAAGAAGAAAGAGTTAGTCGCTTAGTAAGAATGCATGCCAACAACAAAGAAGAAATTAAAAAAGTGGGAGTGGGGGATATTGCCGCTGCTATCGGGCTGGAAAGTACCGTTACCGGGGACACATTTGGTGAAAAAAGTAATCCCTTACTCCTCGAAACAATCGATTTTGCGGAACCGGTAATTTCCCAAGCCATTGAGCCCAAGACTAATGAAGACAAGGATAAATTACGAGATGCTTTGGGAAAATTGAAAGTCCAAGACCCCAGTTTTAAGTATTGGATAGATAGGGAAACCGGCCAAATGATTATTGCCGGCATGGGGGAATTACACCTGGAAGTTTCCATGGAAAGATTAAGGAGAGAATATAAATTAGAAATTGAAAGTAAACAACGCAAAGTATCTTACCGAGAAACTATTACTAAAAAACTGGAAAATGTGGAAGGAGAATATAAAAAACAAACCGGAGGAAGTGGACATTTTGCCCGCGTCAAGCTCACTTTTGAACCGAATAAGGGTAAAGGTTTTGAGTTTGTAGATGCCAAAAAAGGTCAGGAGATGTCTAATAAAGATGCCGAAGAGGTAAAGGAAGGAATGGAAGAAGCCATGTCATCCGGTTTACTCTTGAACTATCCCTTACTCGACGTTAAAGTCACTCTACTGGAAGGAAAAAGACACATGGTCGATACCAAGCCTGGTGATTTCAAAAATGCCGCCATTTTAGCTTTTCGGGGCGATAAAGTGGAAGAAAAAGAAAAAAGGATCCGAGAATTAGGAGTAGTTTTATTGGAGCCAATTATGCAGGTAGAAGTAGTAGTTCCCAAAGACTATATGGGTGATATTTTGGCTAACCTTAGCTCACGTCGTACCCTAATCGAAAACACCGAGGAAAAGGAAGGAGAAAGTTATATTAGTGGCAAAACTCCGCTCAAAGAAATACTTAACTACTCTACTGTCTTACGCCAATTAACCAAAGGTCGTGGTACTTATTCCATGCATTTATCGCATTATCAGGAAGTTCCCTCAGATGTTTTAGAAGAAATATTGAAAGAAGAAAAATTATAAAATAATATTTATATATTATGGCAAAATACAGAGAATGGTTAGATAAGAATTGTCCTGATCATAGTAACAGGAATATTCCTAACATAAAAAAAATTGTCACTGATGAGCCGTTTGAAGACCTGGCTGATTTTTCAATGTTTATTGATTTAGAGGAATTAGAACTGGTTTCAGCACCTGATATTTTTTTGGGTTCTGGGATAAATACAAAACTTAAAAGTTTAAAATTGAAAAATAGTTCCTCCTTTGTTGTCGAAGTTGGTGAAAGATGAGCCCAGAAGATACTTCGTGGTGAGATGAATTTGAGTAAACTTCATGGCCTAACAAATCTAGAAATAGAAGATGATTATGATTTACAAAAAAAAGCCGAAGAAGTAGGGTTTTTTTATTTTCACTATGAAATTAAGGTTTGAAGTGTGAGAAAGTTAGAAATAAAAATAGCTTCTTCTTCACAGTTAGGGATTATAACAGTTTCCCAAACACAAGAAGGACAAATGGCAGAATTAAAGGAAGATTTACGAAATGATGAAGAGAGAAGAAACGAATTACAAAAACAACTCAACGAACGCATTTCTCCCGAAGAACTTGCGGATTTATTACAAACTCAAATGGACCTTCAAGAAGAGTGGAGAAGAGAAAAAGAGGAATTAGAAAAGAATAATAAAGAAATTATAAAAAAAGTCGCACAAATCCATCAAGTATTAAATAGCAATAAGCCAGACTTGCAGCAAGCAAAAAAAGAACTCTTAGAAATCCAAATA